AATTTTGATTTTTATTTTAAGGATATTTGACCCCTAATATGATGTTTTTAGTTGTTATCTATATTTCCTGTCAAATTCATTCTTGATTATGAATTTCATGGGGGGAGGGATCAAAATTATTGTTTTGTATTGATAAGCATGTTTTGAATGAATGAAAAAAGAATGACACTGGACTTTTGAAAAAATTGTTGAAAACAAGAACTCAGTTTGCTTTAAGGAGTGTTATGCTCCAATACTTCACCCCTGTGTTTTCAAGCTAGATATATATTTTTGGAATATAGATTATATTATTTTCAATATCATGTTTTCAGATTTTTAGCAATAAGATAAACTTACTGGCATCAATAAAAATTACAACCATAAATTACACGTTGGAGTAACCTTTGGAAGTTATTGTGTATGTTTAATAATTATCTGTGCATACTGGCAACCCTCCTACTTCCACTGTCAACTACCAGCTCAAGATATGACATCTCTTGTAAAGCATTGGTACCGCAAGCTTGAGTGGTGCAGAATATGCAGCTTACCTTAACCTTATTGTTTTGCTTTAACTTCTGTTTCATGGCTTCAGCAGCATTAACTGTAATATCACCACAACTGACATGCACTGCCATGACATCCTAACTTGTTATACTACAGTTTACATATACATTATTGTCATGATGTTCCTCCTTGCTATAACATAACTGTATCTTACACACTGTAACAGTTATGGTATTCTTCCTTGCTATACCACAACTACAACTTACATACACTGTCCTGACATTCTTCCTAGCTTTACCATTACTTCAACTTTGATGCATTGCTATGTCATCTTTGCTGTATATGAAATTTTATCAATCATTACCACAATTTATATTTAAATTTGCTTACCTTCTGTAAAACAATAACATCTGTAACCTGTAATCTTTTTCCTTCAATTGATCTGTTCACCCAAAAATTCAAATTTGGATTATTATCACTGAACTTTATCTTTAAACATAACAACATTTCCCTTATGATACAGTACACTTTAGGTAGAAAATGTAGACTTGTTAAAACCAGGGGCGGATTTAGGCCGTCTTCTGGGTCTTCCGGAAGACGGTCAGATTTTCAAGTTTACATTGACGGGTATCTATTTTTTTCTGTCGGAAGACCGTCAAAAATTGGAAGTTGGCTCAACAAAGATAATTTGGAAGACTGTCAGAAAATATCTCTGGATCCGCCCCTGAAAACATTGCTCTTATGTTCTGCTATTAGCTTTATTTCATTTGCTGTGCTGTGTTTTTAACATAGAACATTTTACTAACAGCAAACAACTAAGCTTTGAAGTGTGTATTTTTGTGCTTTATCAGCACATTTCTTCCTTCATCAATATATAGCATTTTTCACTAACCGTTTCACATATATACCACTGTTGTGTTACATGTACTAGCTTGTAAAATTCTCAGTTTGCAGTCTCATGTTGCTTATGATTTGTATGTCTGAGAGCAAAATATTGTATGGTATGTAGGTTTCAGTAAGTATATATAAAAATATATATGAATGTATCACAGTGTGGATGGGTGGATGTACATTCTTCTAAATATGTCATGACAATTTCCTTTCACTGAAATTATAGAAATGATCCAAATTGTGTAATTAGAGTTTGTGTGAAAGTGAATAAGTACACATTATTTGCAATGGGAAAAAATGGTGTAAGTGCAAAATTGGTGTGTTACACTGGGTTCCCATAGATTTAGACCGATCCGTCTGGATCGATCGAACTCCCTGGGGGTTCACGCTAAATTGCTGTCAGCTGAACGCGCATGAAAGTAAATTATCCCCTTACAGCTTTTAGTAGGTGGGACAGACATTTAAGCCGGCTAAGCTGGTGAGACTCCCCACAGGGATAGATCGATCTAAAATCTGTGGGAATACAGACTTAAATATGAAAATGTGGTAGTTGTGCTTGTGTTCAGTGCTTAGTTCTTTTCATAGCTTGTGGCTGTTTTTTAACTGCTTATTAGGTTGTTGTGTGCGGCAACCAGTACTATGCTAGATGTCTTATTTACATTCTAGTTTGCAACCAGCGAAACCGTGACCACTTCTTTCCTCGACCTCTTTCCACAGTGGAGAAAGCGGAAAGTTTTCGTAGTATTAGCCTGGGCTTTAATTGGCCTTGTTGGAGGGATGCCTATGTGCACTAGGGTAGGTGTGTGACCCCTGTATGGGCCCTAAATAAGGACACACTGACACTGTTTTAATTCTGCACCATTTCATATTTTTCCCCCATCAGTTTGCCATCAGCGAGACTTGCATCACTGGAATTACGGATCTGTTCCCTCAATGGCGCAGGCGGAAGTGGGCGGTGGTGTTAGGCTTTGCCATATTTGGCACTATAGTTGGCCTGCCCATGACTACCAAGGTAGGTGACACGACATGCGTGCGTGACTATGCTTGGCGGATGTCACATGTTAGTTTGCGACCAGGCTGCTAACTTTGCAGTGAATTGCACCAGGGGTGATTTGCTGCATGGTACTATATATTCATATATAAATATATATATATTTATTGATATACACTTGGTAGGGTCAGGTAGCAGATAATTTGTATGCAGATATGTATATAAGCACAACATCATTATTATCATATAATGCACTCTAACTATAACAAGAGAATAATATTTATTGGTTTACTTGTGTTTTTTTTCTGAAACTCTATATTTAGGAGTTACTGATAAACAATTATAATATGCACCTATAATTTCCAACTTTTCAAGCCAGTTTACATAGTCATGACAAGGGCCAACCTATATCATGCTTGTTCATGTTGACTGTCATAGGCCCACAATCAAATTTGCCATCATTTGCAGTGGCCTTCAAGTAAACCAAGATTCGACCAAAATTTCAATCAACCTATCATATTAGTATAACATATATCTTGTATCCACTGTTAATAACACAAGTAGCCATAAGTTTAATTGTAACACTATGCAATTTGGACTTAATTGGTAGCTGCTCTTAGCATTTCACATCAATTAAGAATACAGTAGCTATTTAACAATAATGCAGTAGTATTGTGAACAACTGATACAGCTAATGGGGCATTAATATAATCCTGGTCATTCTTGGGGAGATAAAAAAATCATCAGTTATTTATTCAAAAATCTATGGTAACGAATGGTATTTTGGGGTCATAGGGAGGGTTGAAATACATAGTTATGTGGCAGAAGGAGGTTGATTTATAGCTGGATTAGATGCTGATTCTATAATAAATAGGACCTAATAGCCATACATTATGTCCTCAATGATGGTAAGTGTATTACAGTATCCCCAGGTTGTTGACCCTAACTGTGCACTGAAGAGCTTGTTTATTCTGTGGATTTTGACTCTTGTACTCTGTTCTCTGTTACACAATCAGATTTGGATACCTAGTTTGTGTTGACTACCGTCCAAATTCTATAGAATTGGTATTAGATTGCTTAGGTTCCTCTTTCTGTGTCCAAGGGGGATGCATGTTTATTTTACAAGGTGGACCTGATAGATGCTAATATTTGTAGAAATGCACTGCTTAATGTGCACTGCAGAACTTTGTTGAATTAAGGACATAGGTCTGCATTGGGTTATTGTAAATTTAATTTTCGCAATCCTTCTATACTGTATCAAAATACGTAACAGATGTTCTGTCTTAATGCCATGTAACTGGTAGAAGAACATGCCTGACATGCCAGCTGCTATAAGCTGCACGTGTGACTTGGAAGCCTGAAAGGTCATGAGCATGAGGCAATTTCTCAATATTTTCACCTAGCTCTTTACATTCTTCTCTCTATGCCCCCCTCCCCCCCAAACCAGCAGTCTCAACTATTCTCTGTCTCTATCCACTGTCATTAATATGTCCTTACCCCGTGGCCAGTTCACAAAATAACTTAAAATGGAAATTTTCTCTGAATTTTAAGGTCGAGATTTTAGTTCACTATGACTTGAGGTAAATCTGGTAGCCAATTATTTCTTGCTTTAAAACATGTACAGTATTTCATCTTGATGGCCTCTACTTATATATCTCAGGTCAAAGTAGACTAATTATTTTGGTCTTGAAGTTGATTTAGGTCTTTTGAAGTCTTTTGTGAAACTGTCCTTAGACCCTGGTCCTCATCTGCGTCCATCCACACAGGGGTGTACAATACTTAGGATTGGGCTTGTTATATTGTCACTGCTGGCTGTGGCAGCTTCCACTGCTGTAGTTGTATCTAAGATGTGTGATTTTTATCATTGTTTTGCAGGTGTTTGCGCCAAAGACATTTGCGTAGTTCTTGAGTTTTTGCCTTGTTTATGAAATGGAAGCCAAACCCAACATGTCTGTGAAATTTAATCTGACCCATAACTTTTTCTTCCTGAAATGGACACTGGTGTGATACCACGCAGATGGAGAAGATATTTCTTGGACTAGTTTTTTTTTTGACATTTTAATTTATTTGTTGATTTTCACTTTTGAGGTTATTTTGGCTATATGTTCTGGGTATGATGGGGATATTTTCACCTGGCACTGGCTGACAATTTTTGATCTGCTCTTTTCACAGTCTTATAGGATCTTAGTTTGCAGTTTAATAGAATTCATTCTATACAAATATATATATCTAGTTATACATGTATATATATATAACTTAAAACTTATATTATTAGTAACTATAAACATGTAGCAATATATTACATACCAACCATTTCAGTCTGTTATACTGCTACATGTTTAGTTTGCTCAGTATTAAATTGATCCTTACCTCATTTAAGTTGTTTTAAGTTTGTATATTTCATTTGACTTGATTTACTAAATTAAACATTATGAATAAGAAAAAGAAATTACATGTACAGTTTTTTTAATGTTGCATGCAGCTTAATTTTTAATTATTATTTTTAATTTGTTAAACGCCTAGCTAAAATACCACTGCTTATCCAGTTTTGCATATTTTACTTCAATGTTGTATCAGTGTTGGTTTTATATGTTATTGTATATTTTCTTATCATTGCTCCAATGCTGTATTTTAGGGAGGTATGTACATCCTGCAGCTGATGGACACATATGCTGCCAGTTGGTCTGTGTTCATCTTTGCCAGCTTGGAGTCTCTGCTCATAGGATGGGTATATGGTAAGATAACGTAACATCTTGTTTTGCACTATAAGCCTATATTTACACTGCAGATTCACTTGCTGTTCTTTCATTAAATTGTGAATCACGATGTCTTGTAAAAGATTTTAATAAGCGTTTTAAAGTTTTTTTAGTCTGCTGTAATTCATTTGTTATCTAGAATTCCATGTAGAGTGATAGAACATTTTCACCTAATATATGCATTCTTGTTTTTTTTATCTATTAGATGTTGCTTTTCCTAAATTATTATTATTATTTTCAATATCAAGGTGCTGACCGTTTCTGCAAAGATATTGAACAGATGATAGGCCCCCGCAGCCGACTGTTCAAGCTTATCTTCAAAATATTTTGGTGTTTCCTCAGTCCAGCCACGTTAATGGTAAGTATCATGTCCTCTCAAATACTTCTCTCAGTCAATTTGGTGAGAAACCATGCAGGGGTCCTATTATGAAAAATAAGAGTAAAATCATTTTATCATTTAAATGTGTGGGGTCTTCAGTGCAGTTTCTGCAAAGTTAGAACATATTTTAGATTTCTAGTGATAATACTTCCTGGGTAATGTCTTCAAAAAAAAAGGGGGGGGGGTCCACTAAAGAATTACAATCATTATTGTTTTTGAAGTTCATGACAAGCATGTTCTGCACTTGTTATTTCAGTTTTTGTTATTCTTCAACTGGATCCAGTACAAGCCTATTGAGTATGCAGGCGAGCCTTACCCCATGTGGGCCGACGCCCTGGGCTGGATGCTCTCTCTAACCCCCGTCATTGTTGTAGTGGGTATGTCAGTATACAAGATTTTTACCACACATGATGAAGGGAAAACATTTTGGCAGGTAAATTTTTTCAATGCTTTATTTTAAAAAATGATTCATTTTATTATTATTATTTTTTAATGAATTTACAAACTCTGTAGGTATAAATAAATTCTTTGATCTACCAAGGATGTGCTTTTTCTTCTATTTGTCATAAAGCATACACTCCAGCATACAACCAATATTTAAAAGGCAATTCTATTGCTTTCAGAAAATAAAATTTCTCTCACAACCGCATGCCTCATGGGGCCCTGCCAATACAAAGAACAGATATGACAGTGTCACTGTGCAGTACACACCGTGAGAGGGGAAGGGTAAGTTGTCCATATCTCTCAGATTTGTAACAAACTACAATATAAATTAGTAAATAAATAATGATAATGATAATTAAAGATGATGATAAATGAAGATAATGATTATGATTATAATACAAAGGTTCTTTAGTGATCTAAATAAATGTTAACTGGTAAATAAAAGCAGCAAACAAAATGTGAACATCATTTAAAAACTGGATTTGAAACTTGAAGGAGCAAATTTTGACTTCCAACAAAGATGATTCAGTTTGTAGTTTCTGTTCCATCTTCCAGCATTTAAAGAATTTTGCCTGACATGATAAAACCACACGCAAGTGAGAAAAAAAAAGAGAACATAAAAAAAGACACTATCTAGCACACAGACCAATTATTTGAGGAATTTGGGTGTTTGCTGAACACCCCATCAATTGTGATCCAATTACCATCAGTGAAGAGAAAAGGAAAGCAGTATATAAACAGAACTTCACCAGGATAGGGGTCCACCCACACAGCATGAAGTGGAGATCTTGGCTCTGTATAGAAATAGATAAGAATAAAAACTGTGATTTTTAGGTCAAGTCTGCCTTAAAACATGATCTTAAACAATGCACCTTAGTGTACAGTAAACGTTTTGCTTTAGCAGTCCTACTCAAGCTTGCTTGCTTTCTTGGTTGCAGTTGTTGATGTTTGATTTGTCAGGAAATTAAAAATTCCTGCCCCCTGTTCAAATGAACAGAGGTGGCATTCTGCTCAAACGTGCTATTTCATATACATATATATCACTGTAGTCATAGCAACCTGCCCAGCTGTTTCTGGGCACACACACCCCCCTCCCCCTGTGTCTCTACGTTGTTGACCATAACATCCGTACAGCTGCTTTGAAGAACATTAAAAATAGATGAAAGTATTTATTGAATATGTTGTTAAAAGATTGTTGACTTGTCACATAATTTTGTTGGGTATTGGAATTAGTGTAAATTTACAGAAGTATACCTCTTTATGTATAATCTGTAGTGTCATTTTGCTCACACGTCTTAGCTTGTTAGCTAGGGTGGCCATATATGAACATACTTCTGAGGGGATGCTGAAGAAGTTAATCACTAGATTCTTGTTATAAGAGTGGTTTACCGAGGAATACCATAGGAGTATTTTTCTGCGACCAAATCTCAACTCTTTTCAAAAGCCACTCGATTCCATTTTTCATTCCCTCAGCCACATTTGAACTGACAATATGAATAATGTTCATGGAAAAAGAGTGGACACAGTGAAAAGCTGCAGTATTGTTGACCCTTGTTCAGTATTTGATCTAGTCGCCTCTTACAACAAGAGTCACACATACAGGGATTTGTTAGGCAGCTAACATAATTCGTACTACATTATTATTTGAAGGCAGCAGCAGCTTTCCATACAACAGAAACCGATGGTACTGATCACTATTAACATTAGTTTATGCTATGCAATGTAAATATCATAAGATTTTGGGGTAAAAATTTTTTTCTCAATTTTTATTGATATTTTTTAAATAGTTGGCCCTAGGCTTTAGGATCTGATGTGGAATATTTAAATCACAAAAAAAAAAATTCATGTTTTTCTGCTACTTTTAGTGGTGGGAGTGGAGCATTATGCAACTAATTTTATTTTTTGAGCTTTCTAATCTCATTAATTGTATCGATCTGATATACTTTTTGCAGCCTTGGAGTTTTTGCTCTCTATCTCAGATAACAGTTTTATTGGCACTTTTGGTAATTGGACTGCCAAGTAAAACATAACATAGTTAGATACTAGTAAACTTCTTGAATCTCGCACAAAGTTTGGCCCCTATATATATTTATTTTCTCTGTTCTCTGCTTTTCTAGCTTTGTTCATTTGATCTTAATGTGTATGCTGTGTTATGTATTTAAACTAAAAATAGTTGTTCATTTTTTGTTATTTTGATTTTTTTTGTTGTCTCCTTTTTTTCATTGGATCCGACATTAGATGGTTTCTAAATATCTATAAATTTTGCTTTGCAGTTTTAGCAAGCATTGCTTGACTATGTTATTGTTGACCTATTATATACATATTATTATATCCAAGGATTTGCTGTGTTGCCAGTGTTAAATTTACATTTTTATTTATAAGGGCAAAACTATATGTTGCTGTAAACATAGCAGCATTATTTCATAGTCATTTTTCTGGCAAATGCCAGAAGTGTTACTTTTATTATTGTTATCTATGTTCCCACTCCATTGCTTTTCCCCAACAAATATTTTTACTACGCTTTTTGTGTAGTCCATTTATTATTATTAAATAAACATTATGTGCCTCCCAGATGCTTATTATGCCAATATTGCAACATGATAAAATGTTGTGAACGTTAACTTATCGCCCTTGTAGATAGGGAATAAGGGGTAAACCTTAAGTAGATCAAATGCTCTTATGTGTCAACATGCAGATGATTTATTATTATTATTATTATCATTATTATTATTATTATTATTATCTTAAGATAATATAATATTTAAGTATAACAAGCACATGTTGGGTTGTACTGTGCTTATGAAAAATAATAGAGTGAAAAGTCATAATATTATGAGGAGAAGACTGCCGGTGTATATAGTCTTTAGGTGGTGGAGGGTGTGTATCATCATAATGCCTGTATATAGATATATTTATGTGACAAACACACTGAAGATCTAACTGGGACAGGGTTGTCAAGGAGGCTGAACTAAGCCTTTGATTTTTTTCCTCTTTATTTCATGGTTAATGTGATAGTTACCTATTTTGGCAGGTGAAAGAGATTTGGAGAAAATTTCTTCATTTCATGCACTGCTTCTGGAGTTATAGCCTAATATTTCTTCATCTGTCAGACTTCGATTTTACATCTAGAAATGATTCTATGTAGAAAAATTCCATGAACCATGAAATAAAAAAGGAAAAATAATATGATAAAGTATATATTTAAGTATATATATATTGACAGAATGGGATGCTCGCCACATCTCAACTGAAGCATTAAGTTTCATATTACTCCTGTTACTTGCAATACAATGTATCTGAAAATATATAGACCCACTTCCATTGATGCCAATAATGTATACATAACACTGCTATATATTACACAGTAAAAACACCAATTTAAATATGCCACGTACCTGTACATGTATAATGTCCAGTCAAACCTAAATTATAATCAGTATGTGTATGTATGTATAGCTTTTGTTTTACTGTTATTTGTTTTTGTTGTTATAAATGCACTATTGTTTGCTTGAGAGAGATCCACGTGCATTCAAAATATATTGATGATTTTCATGAAATATTTTAAAATGTTTAAAATGCAAACAAAGGTTATGGGCAGAGAGACATTTTCTTTTATCAGGTAGCATAGAATCAAGCGTTAGGTAAGTTATATGCGGAGCATTAAATTTCCAAGAAAAATTATTTATGGGGCATATGCTCGAAGACTGTAAAATTTTTTTGTAATTAAAAGAATGTTAATTGAGATAAGTATTTAATTGGTCAAAACTGTAAAAATGCTAATTTTCTGAATGTATCTAAATATTAGTTCTATTTTATTTTGTATCGTACATTGTTTCCTACAGCTAATTACTTGCAAAACAAAGTTGAATATTACTTGGAAATCACTGAAAAATTCTACTGCCTGTTATCAAAGTATTTTCTTATATGTGTCTGCCACGTATGTAGTTTTCCGTGGGTTTTGTGTTCTGTTTAATAAGCCTTTTTAGTTAATATTTTAATAGTATTAGCTGCTCTCCTAAAGCCAGAAAATATTATAAAAGGGAACTGGCAACCGTATTACTTGGTTTGTTAACCTATAAATTAAGTGAATAAAATATACTTGGGTTTATTTATGCGATAGTTTGGTCTTGTTCTTTGCACAGCAACGTATATTGAAGACTAATCTACTGTATCACTACAGGTAGACTTTTTGAATATCTACCGTGGTTGAAATAATCACCCTCCAACAGGGCCACAGACTGATATTCCACTACATATCCACGGGTATTTTTCTGGCTAATTCATGACAATTCTCTACTGTTCACACTAAAAGGTACAGGTTTTAATGTAACCTGGTCTATTTCACTCCGACTGATCTCTCCAGTAGAATTTAGCCTGCAACTGATAACTGATCATGAGCCGCTGTGCCGTGCAGTGAAGACAGGCAGAATGAGTTGAGGTTTTGTTTATAAATACCTTTCTGGTATAGACATATTGATTATCAAAGGTAAGTTAAGGAAAATGTATAAATAGTTTATTGAAATCGAATGCACCTCTGTCGTGATGATTAATAACCATATATCAAAATACAATAGAAGGAAAATATGATATAATAAAACAAGGAAATGTTTATGCTAATTACGCACTTCGACTTTGGAAACGTTTTTTTACATAGCGACTCACACTTATATGGCTGATACGTCCTGAGTTGTTAGTAAAGCAAAATGTGTGTGTGATATGATTGGATATCTTTAACTATTACAAATTTGGTTGCATTTGCGTAGTTTTACTTGGGCCAGTAACTTGTCTATACATTGTACATCAAGTACCATAAAAATCTGATGATAACGTACACATTCACATATAATAATAGAACATCTGAATTTTTCTTCACTCGCCACCCAAAACATATATACAGCTAAATGTGTGCAGATCGGACAATGGATTAAAAGAAAAAAATGTATTTTTGTGTCATCGATGATTTTCTAGGGTTTTTCAGCTTTCATGAACCGAGTCTCGACAAGACCCCAGAAATATGTGTTTATGAGGCATGTAAGTCCACAGTGCCTCAGCTTTCCCTTGTTTCATACTATGTAAACGGTTACTTTTTCACCTCGGGTAACGGTTAGAACGGGGGTAACATATAAGCTTCTATAAACGCTACCGGTCTTGATAACTCATATATTCAAACAGAGGAATATATAATTATATCTATGAAACCCCACAATCCCACCACCGATCCTTTTGATACCAGGTAGAATTAGTGGTTTTTTATGAACTCTATGTTGAGCAGATTTGTGATATAAGCTGCCTTTGTCCTCCACCCGTAAATTTCCGAGAACATGTTGTACTGAGCAATTCTGTAAAAATAATCTACACACGCACGCTATTTGCATCGGCAATTGTGTCTGTTTCCAAGTCATTTTCAAACACCATGTTATATTCCAATGAGCTTGGCAGACTGCTCTGTCCGAGTTCGTAATTCCAGAATGAACGCAACGGGGACGTGGACACGGTACGCGAGGTGCGACACCAGTCACCGTTGACGTACAGAGAATCAATGTAATGATTTTCCCTTGGGCGAGTTGTTTCTCCTGGACGCGGAGAATGTCTTAGCTGTGGTCTGGGATATGTTTCTCTGCCAGTAGTGTGAGTTCCTAAGGAGCAAAAAATGGAGAATTTAGCTTATATTTGCCTTTCTTCGATAAAAAGAAAATATTCATATTTATGTTAAAAAACAACAGCCTTAAGGGCCGGATCTAATAAAACCTGTAGCAGAAGTTTTTGTTACCAAGAAAATTAGTGATGCTTTTTTTTTTTTTTTTTTTTTTTTTTTTTGCCCTCTCTCACAAACCGTGGACTTGACATTTCCTACCACCATTAAAAAATCGACACAAATTAAAAATTAGCTACCCGTTAAACAGCAGCTCACAAAACAAAAAATCGGTATCGTCTACTGTTTACAGAGTCGCCCCTTGTAAACCATCTTATTAATTTTGTCTAGTCTCGAAGTTTAGTGTTCTTTGTTGAATTCACTGAAGTATAATTTTCGCTTAGTCATTGAAGCGGGTAACAAAGAAAAATAATTTTGAACATAAATTTCAACTGATAAAACATTGCTATAATAGGAAGGTCCATGTTAATATCTTCACTACCTGGGGGGTTCCTTTCTTTTCTTTGACAGCAGAAATTCTTAACGAGAACTGCTACCACAATTGTCAACACAACGCTGAGGAGGACCAGAACGGCAAGAACAACTGGGTTAACTTTACTGAAGGCGTCTTCTTTCTCGGTCACTACAGCGTTGGTGGGCAAACATTGAGGGCAACTCAAATCATCGTCCATCTCCGTGTCAGCTGTAGTCATGGCCAGACATTTCAGACAGTTAGGATCACCTCGTGCACACTCGGACTCATTGCCTGCAGGGGACCTCTGGTTGTGAAGTCTGATATCCCGCTCACGCAGCTCCAGACCTCTTGATTCAGTATAGAGCCCGACCTGGTTCGTAAAAGAAGAAACACTTATATTTGGTTAATATTTCAAGATGTTTGTTATTTTCATTAGTCTTTTGCATATAACGTGCATTCAAAATGCATCCTTTTGTTTCAGTTGACAATATACAGGGTTGCTACTTAATATGGAATACTTTTTATCATTGTTATTTTTGAGTGCTGATAAAATATTTTTTGGCTTGATTCATCAAAAAAGTATATCATTGAGTGAGAAAAATATCCAGTCTTCCATTGTGAGATATTTTGGTCAATAATATCCAATCTGACATAAGATGTCATTCAAAAGAAAAGAACACCCCCAGAAAACCATATCAACAGTTTGATGTCAGTATTAACTTTAAGCTAAGATATTAAAGAAAATGACAGCCTCCGAACAGTGATAAGTTACACAGTCAAAGAAATCATTACAGTAAATCATGAAAAGTCATCAATAGCGGGTATGACCTCCAGCAGCCGCTTGCAGCGCCCTCATCCTACATGCCATACCCTGTGACAAGTATTTTAGAGTTTGGANATACACATAGAGTGACACATCAGTTTTGGATTTAAAATAGTTGGAGAGAAATTAAATATTTTGTAGAACATTTTCTCGACAAAAAATAATATTCCATATTAAGTGGTAACCCTGTATGTTTTATAAAAGATAAAGAATTATTAGACGTCAAGTTCACTAAATTAACGTCCCAATACGTTACGAAGCAATTCATATTAGAGGTACAAATACTGTTCTAAACAGCCAGGTTACTCACCCCAACATATTTGGGATGAGTTTCAACTTTTTGAATATTTAGAATTTCGAAGCCTGCACTGCCATCTCCATTGTCATCAAAGGGTATGACCACTTCTCTAAAGTCGTTCCTCAGTCTAACCTTCTTTATCTCATCATACAGTGTTGAGACTCCTGCCGTGGAACGCATGAGAGGACAAAGCTCTGTGGTGCCGCACACTTCTTCTAAAGCTGTCTCAATGCCGTTTGTTGCAGCGTACACAGCAAGAATGGTGTACACTGTCCAAGGGTCCTCAGAATTCAAAACCAATGACTGCCCGCACGGAGGACGCGACTTAGCCAAGGAATTCGGTAAATAACAGTTAAAGTTTTCTTCCCAGTACGTCCTAAACCAAGGATTCCTGTGGTTGGTTCCAGGTTTTAAAGAGCGTATGTATCTGTCAAATTCTGGAAAATCCCTGGTCTTTTTCTCCAGTCTGAATGTTAAGTGTCCTTCGGCCATATTTTCCAAGCCCTTAATAACATTAACACTATCGCTCCACCCTTCACTGCCTACGAGAATATAGCGTCCCCCTAAGCGTCTTCCATTCATTTGCTTGAGTACCTCTCGTGCTAAAAAGTCATCCAACATTAAGACCACGACATTTGCGGCAGGGTAGTTCAGAAGGTTCTGTACGATCTCGGGAACTATTTGCTCAGATTCTGCCTTACTGAACGGCATCTCTTGCGATAAAGCAATACATATATTAGAAACGTTAGCGTACTTTTTAAAGGCTCTGATGCCTGCCCGAGCATAGTGGTTTTCTGTGTTGATAGTAGCAACATATTCCCACCCTAAAGACCTCAGCATCATAACCATAGCGCGCGCTTGCCCATCAATGGCCGGCACGGTTCGAAGGAAGTAAGGGTACGCCTCGCGGTTACTGAGGTCTGTGCTTACAGACCCGTACGATATCAAAGGGATTTTTAAAGCCGTCAGGATGTCAGCCACCGTCATAGACACAGAGCTGGAGAACGCCCCAACTACTGCTGCCACCAATTTGCTGTCTATCTTCTCGCCTGATTTGGGATCTTTCAGTATAAGGTTGCCGGAGAAAAAATTGAGCAGAAGTTGACTTGCACGTAGGGCATTGTAACAGTCATCCAGCACAATGGCTCCGAAGTTTGGTTTGTTCCCACTTCTACTGCTAGGATATCTGCTCTGATTTAGAGTATCCATGGCATAAAGAAAGGCCTCCACCAGGGGGACAGAGCCAGTCAGACTCCTAAAGGCGCCACAATCAGTCGGTCTTTTGGCTTCATGCAAATAGTCTAGGTGACTGGTGCAAAAATTGCTCAAAAGGTGGAAAAAGCATGAAACTTGGCACGAATGTTCTTTGGACTATGCTGATCATTTTCAAGGGTAGTGCCCAAAATTTCAAAGCGTTGCTTAGCAACCGTTGCTAAGGAAGTGATTTACCTTAGTAACAAGCTAATTGGACCTTTCTTGTTCAGTTTAAATTATTTAAAAAGGCTTTTAATAATGTTTCAAGCCATCAGAACTATCACTATACTATTTTAAGACATTAAAAACCCACGTAAACCATTGCAACAGTTGCTAGGCAGCATATTACCTTAGCAACAAGTATTTAATATTATATATTTAATAATATATATTTTATAATATATATACAGATATTCTGTAGCATTTTACAAACCCTCCAGTCCCTTCTCATCTTTCTGTTCCCATTCTACATATACTAACATGTTTCTTAATTATTAAGATAGGTACATAAATAGTGTATGCATGCACAAACCCAAATACAAATATCTCCGGAGATCTATCAATGACCACACCTAAATTATCTTTAGCGGGGCAAATGATGCACATCCAAACAAATTTTACATGTGGACA